TATATAGATGTATAAATTAATGCTTTAAAATTAAGTAGATAATTTAATATATTTAAAATAAAGTGAATAAATTATAGCATTTATTTATACATTTATACTTTCTTGGATTTTAATTTATTTAAAATTCAACTTAATATTAAACAACTTTTTAAATATTATTTTAACAGTCTTATTAAAAAAAAGTTACTAGAAGTTATTTAAGATATTTCAATTATATATATATTCAATATTTTTTGTAATTATTTTGCAATATTTAATTTTTTGAATCACAGATATTAAAACATTTAGGAAAGACTATAATTTTTGATGAGAAATAAATCTTTCGGAGAAAGATTCACTGTAACCATTGTAACCAACACAGCGTTTATGACTCTTTCATGAATCGATTTCACATATATCTATAGGCTGATTACATATTTAAGCATTAATATACTTCATATTCGTTTTCACTATGATGCTTAAATTAAATTTTAATTCTTTACATTATATTAATAACATAAACAAATCTGAGCTAGATTTTTATATCCGTAAAAAATGTGTATGATTAAAAAATAATATATTTTTTATTTAATTTTTGAATATGTGTGCGCACAAGAGAAATAAAAATTTTGTAAAAAAACTTATTGTTTGTAAATATAAAATTTTATAGAAAAGGTATAAGTAGATACAAGTATTGTAAAATTTATATTAAATTAAATAAGATTAGAAAAAATGGAAAAAATTGTATTATCAAATTATTAATTTAACTGTATAATAAAGACTTCCAATTTATGGTTTTAATTAATAATTAATTTATGGATTTTTTTATCCGATCAAAAGATATTATTATACCTAAAAATACCAGTTTGATGATAGAATTATTCGCAGATAGCTGACTATTGTCGGAATGTCTCTTTATAATTGCATGAAAATACTGCGTGCGGTTTTACACCGGTTCTCTCTCAGGTGCACAACAAGGAACTATCTTGTTCTTACATAAACCGGTTCGATATGATTCTCACTCGCGATCCAGAGAATCGGATAGAACAGACCCGCTGACCAAGTGGCCCCGTTTGCCGAGAAGACCGGAAGCTGCCGATCATCCCGCGATCTATGGAAAATAATTTTGATAAAAATGTCAGTTTTAACCCTTCAGAATTGAGGAATGTTGAATTATTTTTCAAAATAATCACGGACCCAAAGAAGAAATGAAAATATAAATACTACAATTGCAGAAAATAATGAGAATAAAAACTACAAAGATAATGAGAACGTCACATTAAATTACGTTATACTAAACCCCCCCTTTTTTTAGATAATAAAATATTGATGTAAATAATAATGAGTAAATTGAAATAATTTGATGTACGTATTTGTAATATTTTTTATATCGACTGACTTGTTGACAAAAAAGAAATTAATATAAAATAAAAAGAATATTACATATAGTTAAGGATAATGTTTTTATGATTGTTATGAAAAATTTTCGAATACAATGCAAGTATTTGATGGCAATAATTTGTATCTGACAAAGAAGATAATTAATCTTTTTTGTTCGGCGACGATTACGGAAGTGAAAGAAGATTATGAGTGAAAGAAGATTATTAAAATATAAGCTACGGCATTACAATGCAATTATTTGATCGTCGTGTTGCAAAGAAAACACAGTAGTACGTGCGAACTAGTGCATTTATAATAATATAAATTTTCCTAGATACGCAAGCATATCTATGTCGAATTACACCAAGGACATTGATGCTCACATGTATTGTAAGTGCAGTGCAGCGAAAGCGACGCTCGCATATGCGTATGTAAAATGGGCCATCTGACTTTTCGGGTATTTTCTATTAAATTACCGGAAATATCCTTGTAAGGAACTGCTTGAAAACTTTCTTTTATATACTTTCTGCATTTCTATCAGCGATTTCATTTCCTACATTACTCGCTTCAACTCTAAATAACAATATATGACTGTACAATTACACGCACTAAATAATAATTGCCAATGTATATATATCTTACGAATAGATCTAATTGTTAAGGTTGTGATTCTTCAGTTTAAATCATACTTTCATATCTTTTTGCATTATCGTACAATGATTCCAAATTATCGCACACATACACACACACACATATTAATTAGTATGGGATCTAGACAGTTACTCAGAAATATTTACTCAAGACTTTATGTTTCATCGAGTATCTATCTTACGATGTTATTTGCAGTTAATGTTTATATTTTATAAAATTTGTATACACATTAGATTTATAAACTTTAATAAAAATAAATAAAAAAGCAATTTTTAATAGTGATCATTTAATGGTTCAAAATAATGTTACGTATTAATCTTACATAATATATAATGTAATTATATATTTGCATGTTAGTATCACTCTACTTATTGTTATAGTTTCGAATAAAATGTACATTCCGGATCCTGATAAAATGTCCGTCCGGAATTCGACGTAACGGTGCACGGAGCACCAAAACGCTCGTTTGCGAGTGCCTTAGGTCTTCACGATGATACCAGTTGCGTGGGGAAAGATCGGTTAACGTGTATATGGACGAGCTTTCGCGTCTAGGTCGCGACGTTAACCTCTGTACCGCGAAAGTCGCTTTTACAAGAAAACGGGCTGAATTCAAGAACGAGAGAGGCGGATATGGTTGTTTTCCTCGATATTCTCTACGGCTCATTATCCATCCAGTTAACACTATTCGATTTATTTAACAGATATTTCAGATTATATTAATATATGGTCTTAAACACCATTTTCACCCAGCGCGTTTTACAGAATGATTGTATTACATCTTCATTTCGTATTTGCATAAATAAACATAAATATACATGTTGTAACGAGATTGTGAAGATTATTCTAGTATTTAATATTGCATATGTAATATTTAACATGATTTTCTTTTAATTGGCACATCTGGTAATAAAATATATATTCGCATCATTGATTTTGTTTGCCATAATTATTACGGCCAGCATTTATTGCAATAAAATATTTTGAATAAAGAAAAACTACGGATTTCTTTGATGTTAAATAGTTATATAAAATTATCTCATTACAAAGTGGACATCGATATGTTATCTTTCCATAGATTGTATATCTTATATTATTATCTAGTAAAAAATATATTTTGTCAGACAAGCTTAGTGAGAAATTGTTTTCAATATAACAGTTCACTGTTATGTATGTGTTTGTGAGATCTCATAATTTAATTAAACTATATCATGTACATGATTAATTATTAAGATAATGAAATTTGATACCAAGCTCGCATAACTCTTGGCAGTCGTGTGAAACGTGCCTCGCAATGCTTAGTTTAGTTTGTAGATTATATAGTTACTTTCTAGAATAATTTCTTAGCTCTATATACTTTGTCTGTTGTGGATCAGTTGTGTAACGGGTATTACAAGTCCGATAAAATATTAATGATCTTTGCTCATTGGAAAATGTGACTGAATGATACCTAAATAGCACTCAACTTACGTATCCGTCACATGTGACATGCAATGCGATAAATGTACAATTGACGATACCTTCGCTGCTCGTCTCTTTACCTCTCTTTACTTTCCTCGGAATTGTTGTAACGCAACGCTGCTTTCTACTCGTTTGCACTTTGATTTCGTTTTGCAATCGAAATGACGTAGACAGATTTACGAGTGAGTTAATGAATGACGAGTGAGCACATCCGATAGTACTTACTCCTCAATAAGAATCTTATTTAAGAATATCGGGAACAACGGAAGCAATAAAATTAATCGAATCCGAGAGTTGCCTGATTGTTCGTCAGACAATACACGTAGGTATATGTCAGTGCATGTGTGTAACATTTGATTAGATATAATGTTGACTACACGCGCATAACCATTACGAATGTACCGATACGTGTTAGAGTTTCTCCTCAATACCCTGAATCCTTGTCATTCTGGAACAAACGTATATCCGGTGCATCTGCATACTGCCGCGCCGCCGAAGTATGTTAATCTGACATATGCAATTGTTACGGTCAGCTTTTTATGATTTTCGGAAAAAAAAATAATTAAATTGCCTCATAAAGAGAATTAATTGAAAAGTCCATGGATATTAAATCCCCGTCGGATTACTTTGCTCCAGTAATTACCTCGAACCGTGCTTGTTTATCCCAGCTTGCCTAGCATCTTGGCTTTCTTTCCTCATGGTTAAGTCTCTCTCTACCCTAAAAGTCTATGAGTGCATAGAGAAGGTTCGTGCAAAGACGCAGGTAGAGATCTGCGATTAACGTGCCGTACAAGTCGCACGCTCATATAAGGTAGATGCTTACGCATTTGCGAGTCGGGGATGGATGGCATGCGTGCTCTACATCCGTGACACGGTTCTCGCGGGCGGGCAGGTTGGGTAATGGTCCATCGGAACTACAGGGGATCTCGCATGTTTCCATGCGGCTGTTTATGAATCGCACGCCGTACATGAGCCGTATACACACGCCACTTCATCCACAGTCTGCACACAAGGATACGGGAGCGATGAGCCGCTACTCGTTCGCGAGTTTACGACGCCAGTTTACACGATGCACCATGCATCGTTGGGAACCAGTTTGCGCGTACGCAGGAGGATAAAAGAGGATGACGACGACGACGACGACGACGACGACGCCGTTCTTTTCCTCCCAAGAAAAAAATACGCTAGCGTCGTTCTCTTTTACGCGTCGTTAGGCGTCGTATATATGCATTGCGGCGAAACTAGTTTGCGGGCAAAGGATGGCAATAAACTTTAGCTTCGGTATCGGGTTGATCTTCTCTTACGCGCTTGCAAGATCATAATAATGAAGCGATTCATCCCACTACCAAGAACTACCTGAGTCTACCGTAGCAAGCCCATTGCATCCACTCTCGAAGCCATGTTAAAGGCAAAAGTGGGCACCACTACCATTCGTCCATAGCCATCGCCACCCACCATCCGCACCAACATCGTTTCACAGAGGCCCCCTATATAGTTCCTGCGGGAAGTGGTGGGTCAACTTGCGACGACATTGTGCACACACCTTGGTATCTATCCACTAAGGCGGAGATCTACGTATATAAACTCGTCGGGGCGAGACGCGAGTCAGAAGTCTCGTGCTACTCCTTGATCTACGTATCGGGATTGGGAAGAGAAAGATTCTTCGCAATACGGGATTAACCAGCTGATTGGATCGAGAAAAGAGTCGCCGCTTTGCCTTCTCTATTCTTTTTTTATACTTTTTAAAGCTTCGGTTCTAATAGGTGGGTTAATTTATCATTCCGTTACTCGAGTGGATCACATGCTTGAAAGTTGTATCTCATCTTGCATGTAATTAGCATTTTATCATACGTTAAGCATTACATTTGAATTTGTTGTGATTTGTTTTTATAAATTAACTGTGTGTGCGTGCGTGCGTGTATGGGTGCGTGCGCGCGCGCGCGCTTGCGTGTGTGTGTGTGAATCGAGTTTTATTTTTAAAATTTATTTTGTTATATATACATATACGAAATCACTTTTCGGTTTTAATTTGGATTTTGATCGGTCGATAAGATTTTTATCTATTTTAGATTTTTAATTGTAAATTTTAGTTTAAAAAAATATTTTGTATTCTTTTATTGTGAGTTAATATTTTTCTGTCGCTATCTTGGAATTATTAATCTATATCGTAAAATATGTTTAACAGAAAAGCATCATGAAGACGACTTTCATATTGATTTTGTTTGGTCTTGGGGTATGTTTGGCCAATCCTCTGGAGAAAAAGGAAAAGATAAGCGTCATCGAGCAGCAGTCTGTGACGCTAACAGATCGAGCTAAATACGAGGAGGAACTTCTTCGTAAACTCAACTCAAAATGCTCCCAGAATGATATCAGCAGTTGCGTGATGTTGAAGTTGGTGACGTACATGAACAAGTTGTTGAAGAAGGCTTCGATCGAGCTCACGGACGATATCGAGATCAGAAAGACGAGTCAGACGTCGGAAGATGTAATCACGTTCGAGGCCGGCAGAAGCAAGAACGATGAGATTCAAGTCCTTGATCTTGTCGCGAATAAAGTTTACACCTTCATCAAATCGAGAAGTATTAAATGGAGAATTCTACCTGAAGATGATATTGTGGTATCCGCATCGGAAGATGGGACCAGTTCGTTAAACTTAGGTCTGTCTATTGAACGCGCCGACAGATCCGTTCAACAAGGTAATTATAACCTTTACAATAATAGCTGTCCTAAAGAATTAAAATAAATATTTTTAATGGAATTATGTAATTTAATTAAGTGTGTATTAAGTGTTAGATATTCAATAACTTGCAGTGAACTTGCAGTAAACGCGTCTAAATATTGATTTGCTTTATTAAATTTAATTATGCGCCATGCTTTTATAGATTTTGAAGATTCAACAAAAGTAAATTCGATAATTAAGCTCTCAGATAGGATTCTATTAAGATCATGTAAAATATGATTATCTATTGGTCATTTTTAATTTACAAAAATTTTATCTAACTTTAATTAACTTTAATTACTCAAAATTTAAATGTATTAACACTTTTTTGTTATTATAATATTATGTCAGTATTTAATAAAATAATTTTGATAAATAATATGATCTTTAACAAAATTATCATTAAATATAAGTGACGTTTCAGTTTTACTCTGGTTCAATTTTCACTCTTTTCACGCGAGTAAAGTTGTGTCACCGAATGCATAAACAAATAGCTTTCACCTTTACCTTGTTCATCTGCTCATTCATCTGCTTATCACCGAACTTTATTGCTTTCTCCATGGAAAGTATAATTATGTACCTGCAAAGTAGTTTCTTCGTCTTCTGCTTGACTAATTCGCCGAAAGTGACAATAGCGTGATTTGTTCCATTTTTTGTAGGTCGTGGAAAGAAGAACAATATGGGTCCATTGATCGCTGCGGCCGTCTTGAAGATTGGTCTCATCGGCGGTCTAGCGTTCAAGGCTCTTGCTCTCCTAGTCGGCAAAGCTCTCCTTTTGTCGAAGATCGCGCTCCTATTGGCTAGTATCATAGGCCTAAAGAAACTTTTCTCGCAAGGGAAACATGTAACCTATGAAGTGGTAGCGCATCCACATCACAGCTCGAGCCATTCGTTCGATCATGGTCATGGCGATAGTTACTCCAGTGGATGGGCGAGAAGTTTCCACGAACAAACGCTGATTCCTGAACAGCCAGACGCTCATGAGCTGGCTTATGCGGCGCATGTAAAGTGATTGATTCCTACCACTGAAAGCAGGATCCAAAAATCGTTGAGATAGTCGTTTGATAAGAAGAGCGATGTCCTTGGATCCGCGTACTAAACTTATTTTTAAATCACCGTCTAGATCTATTCCATAGAATATTTATTTCTACCCATAATTACTCATTTTACTTTGCTCTTTTTTTCATTTTTCTTATCATCAACATCGTGATTCTCCTTATAACTTTCTTTCTCTCTTTCTTTAATATCTGTTATTATACTTAAATTTCCGAATGACTACACGACACATGAATACGTCAATGACATACAGTGACGCACGTGTTTATGACAATGGTGACATCAGGATGTCACATTACGATTTACGGATACGTGGGCAGGAAACTCTTGGATGCGTATGTATGGAGGATACGCATCACGAGAATCTTACCTACCTACTTTCGCGTTTGTATTTGTGAATATAATTGCAGATACTACGAGACTCTCGTCATTAGGACATAAAATTATGCACGAACGTTATATTCTTCTCGCTTCTCACATTATAGTATTTAGATCTGTGATATCTTGAGAGCTTAGAATTATGTTCATGATGTGCATTAAACGTTAAATGTAATTATTCTACTTTCAGTTTGTATTCTCGTCGTATATTTAGCGCTAGATATAGTCATTTTATATTAAATAGAAACTTTATTCTAGATAGATCATTTAATCTTAGAGGCTGTACTGTGTGACTATATTCTTGACGTTAAATGTACGGTTAAATGAACATAAGAGAATATTGTTTTCACCTTCTATTATTTTTAGTTTTTATTTCATATTTATATTTATAAGATTACATTTAACATTAAGAATTTTATTTATCAAAGCTAATCACTTTTAACTTAAATGTTATTTAAAATTAGGACAAAAGATGTTATGAAATAAGATTAAAAGACGTGTGAGTGATATAATACCAAAAACTCTCTAAGCTCTTTTTATTGGCTTTTCCAAGATTTCTATGTAATTTTAGTGTGATGAATCGTTAAGAGAAAAGTATATAAAATTTTCTCTATGCTTGTAAATAATTTGTAATGATAAAACAATTATACACATGCTAATTAATTTGACGATTATTTCGTGTTGTAAATTAAAATACGTTATCTTTAACAGAGAGTCTTGTAGTGATTTACTTGACGCAACAGACTGACAAGTTTATATAGATACTTGTTTAACAGAAGAATAAAGTCAAAATGACGAAAAATCAACACACAAAGCAAAAATGACAAAAAATAATGACAGCCACATAAAGTGTATGCGTATTTTATTTATATTAATATTAATATCCTAACTTAATATACGTTTATACGTTTATAAATTTATAAATTTATGATTGTCTGATTAATAAGACTGCGAAATGTATAATAATACACACCTTTTATATTATTTTTTATACATAAAAATAAATTATTTATTATTTTTACACAACTTTATTTATCTACCATTTATAATTATAAAAATATTACAAGCAAATTTTATATTTATACTTCTAACTATATGCATATTACATTTTTGTTTATACACATGTTTAATAAAGTTAAAAAAGTTTATAATATACTTCAATAAATAAAAAAATAAAATAAAATCAAAATCTAATTCAAAAGATATCAATATTGAAGTAATTGTTATTATTTTATTTAATAACATTTTTTATTAGAGCATCGCTGATTCATATGCATATACATCGTGTATATTTAATTCAGCATATACTTATTCCGCCTTTATTTCGTATTTTTCACAACAAAGCTTGGTCATAATTGTTCAATTATAAAACGTAGTAAAAATAATAGTAAATGATAGTAACCTGTTGCAATTTTTTAATGCGTTACTCTATTTTTTTTTAAATTGTTGAGAGATTTAATATTTACGTTTACAGTTGTCCTCCTTTTTTAATAGTGACATGTGACTGATGTCTTAAAAAAAACTTTCAAGTAAATTGAGACGGATACGCTCGACTACGCTAAACATAAATCCCTGAGAACGATCTGTGCAGCAAATATTTTAGTCACGATCGTTAGTCGTGGTCTATTTAATACGACTTGTAGACCGGATAGAGTAGAATATCGCATAAATGCGAGAATAAAAGTCACCGCGATTTCACGTCCAAGCGATTCATTTCATTAGTTTGGCTACTTAACAAAACAATGCTAGTGCAATAGAAATTTGATGTATAATAATTAAAACATCTGATATTTTTAAATGACAAATTATGGAAGTATTAAAATCACCTAAGGTCGATAAAAACTTTTTACTGGTAAAAGAAAATTTATTTTCTGTACGTTTTTCAAAGAAATTGTATCCAATTTCATCCTGTTTTTTTTTTAATTTAACAATAGACTTAACGTACATTATTACATAAGAATTTTATTTGTATCTTTATCTTTATCTTTAATATTTATTGCAATGTACAACATAGCAGAATTATACGTAAAGTATGAAATTTTCCTTGGAGTTAAAAGACATATTGAAGATATTAACCCTGCTGGTTTTAACCAGCTATATGATTTATTATACGACTATATATTTTTTAAGTCAACATAATAAAAAACTCTAAAAAATATGACATAAAATATTTCACAGAAAAAACTCTTATATTAACAGACGAATCAAGTCGGAGAAAATAGTTGTTAAATAAAATATTAATAAGAAAATAAAATAAATTTTTAAATGTAATTTATGTCAAATAGATTCAAACAGATCAGCAGGGTTAAATTAAATGTCAAATACAACATTTCCCAGTTTGTGATTTTTAGCAGGATTTTAGCGCATGTGATTATTTTAATTAGCTTTACATATGCGTCTGTGGTAGAGGTATGTTATAAAGTCTCGTAATATGCTGCATATTAAAAAATCGCGAAATCTTCCTTTTGCAACTTGTAACATATGCATCATATAGTAATACAATCATTTAATTTTTATACACTTTCTATATAATTTATCTTTCAATTTACATATACTATATATATATGCATATCTATAGAATGCGCTTATATAATATTTATCTAAGTGAGAACAAAAAACGTATGTTTTAAAAGAGGAATTAGGCACGTTTAAATCAAAGGAAAACTATCTGGACCACGTGATATGCCAGACATTTCTCATTTAAATAAGTTGACCTCTATCTGAGAATGTCCGCTTTCTCCATTCTGATCGATTTTGAAGGATTCGAAGGATATTCGCGAGATAAGACAGACTCGATGTAGCAGAAAGAGAGTACCGTTCATCTCGTACCATTCAGGAAATCGACTTTCGATTTCCGACGTACGGGGGCATCGCGGACTTGACCCAATTTCTTTATCCTTTTTTCTTTCTCCTTTTCTTTTTTGAAAACCGTTCTCACGCGTGGTGGAGAAAGAAACTGAAGTCTCTGGTGTGTCCGAAACCTCGATCGTATACGGATATCGTTGACATACCGATGTTCGTTGATAAATACATTTTTTGATCTTAACTCAATTACTGTTATTACAAACTGTTACTATCTGATATTTGTAGGCGGTGCCTGCATTCTTCTTCTTCTTGCCTGCATAATTTACCATTTATCGCTAGGCAAATAATTAGCGTTATCGATATCAGAAATTTATCACAACTGGACGAATCTGGAATTAATTGTTAATTTGTTATATGTAGGTCTTCGCAAGTAACCTGAATTCTTCTTTATTTGAGATGTAATTATCTAGATCGGAGATATTAACACAACACAGAGCAAAGTGGTGAAAATTAATTTTCATTATAAAAGATCTACCATCTCGTAATTATTACAGTATCGGTTTATTTAATATATTTTCCTTAGAAATAGCAAATAATCTTCCTGATTCTTAATTCGGTTTTAAAAATAAAAAAAAAACATCAAAATTTATCATAACAGTAAAACTTTATACAGAATGTTAATATTACTTTAGATTTTTGCAATTGTATATATCTAATTGAATCAACAGCGAACAGAATTAATAGTATTTTTGTAGATGATTTATTGTTTTGTTAGTTAGAAATTTACCAAGTTAAAAGATTTCCCTAATCTTTTAGGACTTACCAAGTTCTTCTATTTAGTTGCCATTTTCTTCAGATTTTAGTAGAATTAAATATAGTGAACTACAATGAAATAAAAGTATAGGAAAAAATGCAACGAGAGAAAGGACGACACTTAAATGTGAAAATCTCGTAACGCGATAATGTCACGATAACATGATTGTGTTACGGCCCGTTAGATACTTAAACGCGAACATTACACTGTATAAGATAAATTTGCAATAAACCTCCATTTTATGAATGAACTAAAATACAATGTAGATACATAACAAATGCAGTCGTAAGTATTCGCGCTTCAAAATAAACAGAGCACAGCTTAGCGTGCACTAATTAAAACTATCATTCGGTACGTAAGCGCGCAGTGTTGGGAAAGTTACTTTACAAGTTACTTATAAATTACTTAGGTTACCTTATATATGTTTGTTATAGGGATCGAGTATAAAAAAATAATACAAAATTGGGGTAAATGATATATAAAATATAATAGAAAAATTAAAATACCCGAACTTGTTGCGCTCAATTTCTATAATGAAAAATAACTTATAAGTAACTTGTAAAGCAACTTTTCCAACCCTGTTTAAGCGTATGAATTCCGCGTGTACACGCGATAAAGCGCAACTGCTTTCGACATTAATCTAATTTGAATAGATAACGCCGTCTTTAAAGCCTCGTGAGTTTCGGGTAAAGTTTTTAGTTGATCACGATCGTCCGTATGCGATCGAGCCGTGTCGTGGAACGGAAGAATAATTTTGAATCGGTTGTAGTTATACCTATCAGACTCTGCTACGTATATACTGCGGTGTTGTAGGCATGTGAGGGGAAGTGGAACAGAAGAGAAAGGCACGTGAAGATGAACTAGATTTGGATAGTCATCTCTCCTTTCTTTCCACGCATTCACCATCTTTGTCCATCATCGGTTTCTTTGTCTCTTTCTCGTTTTCCTCCACACCCTGCCCCTTCCTGCGTAAATTCACATTTCTCACATTCTCCGCTACATCGTCCTCCTCATTATCCCGCGTACATTGACACGATCTACCTGTCGGAATAAGAGACCGCCAATAATGAATCTGTCTCTCGCAGCCATCGATGGAGCAGCGTAAAATTTGATGTTGGTTTCTCGCATGGGGGACATTCAAGCACGTTACCCTCGCATCTATTATTTATCAAAGATGCGTACGATCGTGTTACGATCGATACCGGCGATCACGATTCGAAATCGGTACGTTCTCTTCCGCTCTACTAAAGCGCGGGAAAGAGAGAAAGGAAAGAGAAGCGAAACTACGAGAAGAGAGCTGCGAATGATCCGGGAGGCAGTAGTACGTGATCTAGAATAGTGAGATCTCGCTAAATGCGAATTACGTCGGTGCTCTGGCGGAGCAGGTAAAGGAAATAGGCGAAGGAAGGGAGCGGAAGATGCGTGAAGGCGTCATCCGCGCCGATGCGATGCGATGCGATGCGATGCGATGATGGAACCTCGCCTCGCTCTCGCAAGCCAACCGCGCCGTAACGCTCTGAAACGCGCGTCAGAGAAACAAGAATTAAACGAATCGTCGAAGAGACCGGCATCTAAGTGAACGAAAAATTACCGGCTAATGCACAGCAAGAGCAGAGAACGGCAGCCATCGTGCCCGATGCTCTCCTTGCTTTTTTCTTGGTACAATCACCGACCCTCAAGTAGATCTATATAAATGGGAATTGCAAGCACTTACGCTGCAGCACTCGGACCTCCGCCGTAGGTTCCGCAGCTTCACGGTACGCACGCGACGTTCT